TGTAAACGTAGTTTCATCAGCTGTAACAAATGAACCGCTCTGGTGGGGGACGTTGATACCGCTGGAGCCTGTGTGTGTCGGGGCACCGGGGTCTATGGGAAGTCCCTGGACCTTCCACCTTCCACTTGGTTATTGTGTGAACCTAAAAGTGCTCTAAAAAGTCAAATAAAAGGGGGTGAGGGGGGCTATGAGGGCTTGCAGTGATGGAAAATAAGACACTGGCTGCAGTGGGTTTGGGGACATGTGGGATGTTCCCTGCACCACAAACAAGACATAAGTTCTACATCTACTTCAGTCACTTATCACTCAAACACCTTGTATAAATCACTTAACTTCCCCTGCTCAGCTGGTGAGTTAAATGTGGCTCATGTCATTTGTCCTGACTACCCCCCGGCTGCTCGTATGGATCCAATTAGACACCGTGTGTTATTTCAACAATTCACTCAATAGGCACCTATTGAAGGCCCACTCAATAACAGGTTCAGTGCTAAATGCTATTAAAGGCTATGTAAGTACATAAATATATGATAGAATTATGGTTAATGGGATTTTCTTGTTAAATAACAAACTCTTTTAAAAATTTCATTCTTATTGAAAGACACTCTAATCTATTTTAAGACACTCTCTTACCCTAGCAGGCACCATAGAGCAAACAAAATTCTCTCTCCGGAATGGTTAACTCATCATATGCTTCCATATCGTACGTCCAACAAGAGCCTACCCATCACGCATAGGTGAGGACCAGAAAGGTGGAGGGTGGGCAAATGAACAGGGATGTCTCAGGCACCCCCAGATGGACACTTCTCTTCTATATCCAATTCTTATCATCATCTGCCTTGATTATCTCTCTCATTTGTCCTCAGAGAAGTCTATAAGAAAATGAGTTTTCTTTAAGGTATCAGGTTCCTGGATTCTAATTTACAGGCTTGGCAACAATATTTAGAAAGACATAGAGCTGACATGAGTGTAGTAGATATGTTATTATATACCCAAAACATGAACTGAGCCCTGCATTTGGAAATCATAGCAATGAAAGGAAAGAAGAGGCTTGCTTTCCTCTTTTCTCCAACCTTGTGATTACAGCTACTTATTTCCTTTAACTTGGATGATCGGTTTATAAGACACTAAATTCTAGAAATCAGATTATGTCCATTTTACTTCCTTTAGTTGTCATCTCCAGAAATCTCTGGTCAACAAGTAGTAGCAATAAAATCATATTTATTAAAAGAAACTTTATCCATCCCCTCAATTGGAAAAGCTATTAAGTATTAAGTAAAATGTTTCACTGATATAAAGACTATGGTGAATGAAATAAGAAGAAAAAAGAGAAAGCCATCTAAATCACAAATTTTTTCACATGCTGATTAAATGTTGTGATTAAATCTATAGCCTATTGATTATAGAGCTTATAAAATACTTAACATTTTAGGGGTGCCTGGATGGCTCAGTCAGTTAAGCATCCGACTCTTGATTTAGGCTCAGGTCATGATCCCATGTTGATGGGAGCAAGGAGCTTGCTTGGGATTTGCCTCTTCCTCTCTCCCTGCCCCTCCCCCCACTCATCTCTCTCTCATGAGTGCGTTCTCTCTCTCAAATTAAATAAATAAAACTTAAAAAAAAGACAACATTTTAAAACTTATAAGAAAGTACCAAATGATATGGTTATTATACAAATTATACAAAAGAAAAAAAGTAAAAAGAGACAACTGAATTGAAATTTTTATTACAAAACTTTAGCCAACAAATTGGTAAGCGGCAATAAGATCACGAAAGGACAGTGGGATTTGACTCTAACACACTTAAGAGTCTTGAACGCATTTGTGTCTCTAAGTAGTCACATAGGAAAGCCATTTCAGAGGCTAGAATATATTTTCCTAATTAAAGGAAAGGGCCGGATTGGTGTAAAATGCTTTGCCAATGCATGAGACAATTACCAATATTAGTAGATGCAATAGCATTTGGGTCAGATTAAGGATAATAGTAATAAAAGAAAAGCAGAGATAATACAATGGTCATGATTTAGAAAGACCTGAGAGCCCCTTCTCAACACCACCTGTAACCTGAATTGCACTGGAGGAAAGCCTGGAAATGCTAATAAAGAATGTGATTAAAGGTGGGCCTGGGGTTATAAATTGCTTTTTTAATGGTGATGATCGTACCTGACATAGAATATAATAAGAAGATGAGAATGTCACTATCAATTTTTATTAGTGTCATGAACAATATATAGTATATTTAAATTAGCTTCATTTGTATTAGTATCTTTGTAAGTAGTAGCTCTAGAAGCAATAACATGTCCAATGCATTCTGAAAAGAAGAACTAAATAAAGTTGCCAATGTTCCCTAGAAAATAGCCATAACTTTTACACTGAGCAAAATGTGCCCCATTTCCTAAGATACTCAGAATTCAGGTGTGCAAAACTCTGGATTCTGGAGCACAAAAAAATCTGCAGAATAAGTTGGAGGAGAAGTTGAAGCAAACGGATAAAGTTGTATACAAAAATTTTAAAGACACTAAAAACGTAACCTTCCATATAAATCAGAATATTTCCCCAAGATTTATATAGAATAATACTTCAAGTCTATACTTGGGTCAGTTTAAAGCCATTTAAGAAGCAATTTGGTACGTATTTGGCCTAAGCATGAATATTCTGTTGAAAATTAATACTTATAACATTAAACAACAATCAGTTAGTAATTTTTATAAACTGGCTCTTATCAAAGAAAAATAGGTGACTTAGTTTTGTTTATGAATTTCCCCAGTAATCATCATCAGGTTTCTGAGTTAGCCTAATGACAAGTTAGGTAAAATTGAATATCTGACAAAAAATAATTTGTAGAGAATTAGGAAAATAGGAAACATGTTTACTTTGAATCCAAATGCCTTCTTTGCTTGAATTTCAGAAAACTAAGTTGTTGAAAAATAAACCATAAGGGTTAAAATATAGAATTTCAAAAATCTACCTGCTGGGATGATGAACAACAAACCATGTCTTTTTGATTTATTTTCTAGATGGTTGATATTCATTGTGTATGGGAGAAAACATAGCCTGATGGTTGAGAAGCTGGCCTGAGTCAGAAGTCTCAATTACTTACTAGCTGTATAATCTTGACCCAGTTACAAAAACTATTTTCACTTTCTTCATCTAAAAATTGGAAATATCATTGTTCCTACCTTAAACGGTTATTGTGAGGATTAAATGAGATAATAACATAACCAAGAATGCTCAAGTGTCTGGCACACAAGAGCTCAATATATATTAGTTTAGTTATAATAATAATAATTATTATTATTTTAAGTAGGCTTCATGCCCAGTGTGGAGCTCAATGTGGGGCTTGAACCCACAACCCTGAGATCAAGACTTGAGCTGAGATTAAGAGTCAGATACTGAAATATTTGAGGCACCCGGGCCCTTGAATTTTATTATAATTATGAAAGCTAATAATGTGTTTAAATAGTAATCTCTATTGCTCTAGAAAGGTTATATTAAACATTTTACCCCGCAAGTTGCTACTCTCTGCCAATTCCTTCTTTTTTCTCTATGAATTATAGATTTCTCCTTAAGCCAAAGCACACACTTATTTGTTCCTTCAAAATTCTTTTTTTCTTTTTCAAGTGATTTTTCAAGACACATCACTCAAAAGGCCCTCTTCCCTCCAAGATTGGTTTCGTTCCCTAAAAGGACTGACGGGAGATGCAGTTACTTCGATAAGGGGAAAGACCATGAGTTCACAGGTGCCTGGTTCCAGCAATGCACCACTAAAAAACCACTGCCTGGAATGGCAAACATCTCATGCGCTGTGGCCTCTTGATCATTTTAAACTTCCTTCGATTGTTGTATAGGGAACATAAAGTCTCCAAACAGGTAGGAATTTTACATGACAGCAGTCTTAAAAAGCAAGAATTTAAGCGAGTCAGACAATTCATTCATTTAATGCCGTCCTAACGTGTAGGTGTGCTATACATTCTGCTCAAGTAATTTCAAATATAAACTTCTCATAGACGATTCCCTACGAACAAACTTCCACAGAGAAGGGCATCAGCATGAATATCTAACAACTCTGATAGATACGTGTACCCACGAAATAAGTGGACCCAAACTGTGAGAGAATGAATCCTAGGAAATGTGGAAGCAGTTAAGAGAGCCCTTGCTTCAGGAAATCACAGAACACAGTTGCCTGGAAAAATAACCATGTAAGGAACGGATTTCAAATGTTTTCCTGAGGAATGCCTATTAGACCATTGTTGATTTCAGAAAGCTGGATTAGAGCGAAGGTAGGAGACTTTCTGGGTTTGCAACAGCAAATCTAGACAAGGGACAAAGGACTCAACTTACCCCTAACACAGTTTTTCTAAAAAAAAAAATCATCAGTACAAAATATGTTTTGTCAGCATGTTTCTTTTTAAAATGTACTTTTTCATATACTATACCTTGACAGAGACTCTGAAAAAAAAAAATTCTAATTGGAGTTTATTTTGCAAAGCCTATTACAGTAGACTTTTCACGATATTACCTGGGGTGCACTCACAAGCATCTAAGGTGGGAATGCACAGACACACCCACAAACCTTTATTGTCCAATGTCTACATTTTAAAAATTATTATAAAAGTATCTAATTATTTAAAACAGACACGGGGGAACTTAGCATGTGGGTCATCTGTTGATCAGATTTTCAGGTGACAGCTCAGTTCTTTACCACCAGGGCACACACAGGCCACATGTGAGATATGGACACAGAAAAGGCAAGTACTCCACAGAGAAAAGTGGGGAAACTACATGACAGCAAAATGTTGCTGTGTTTTGTTATCAAACCATTAGCCCTAATGGTTCTGAACCAATTATTGGTGGTTTTCCCCTCTCTTCTCTGGGGTACAAACAAAGAAGCCCGTTGCCCCATTCCTCATAGTTAAACAGGGACTCTTAGGTTTGAAAAGTACAAAATGTTCTGATAATCAAAGCCCATCGATATTAGAAAAAGTAACATGGGACAAATCTTACCTAAGCTCCTGAATTAGAGAATCTATTGGCACTGTGGACAAAAAGAAAAAAAAAGAGAAAATCAGTTTATAATTTTGAAAATGGTACAATTTTGAAAACTTTTCACTCACCCAGAGATAATAACCAATAAATGGTTTATACAGACCCTGCTTAATTTCCCATTAGGTAAATTGATCTTTTCTGGTTCTGGTGCTTTGGAAACCAGTAGATGGATGAATATGGCCCAGAACAGATGAATCTGGCGTTAGTGCCTTAGGTGACCTTGGAACCTCGCAGTCATGGATCGGGTTTTCCAAATGCCCGTCTTTAAAGATTCACTAAACACTTACAGGAATTTGAAGGACTCGAATTATTTTTTATATCAATTTTATGGTTTATATGAAGTTTTTCAAAAGGATCCTAAACTTACGTTTTTATTGACGTTAAACTAGTATTTACATAAAACTGTAAAAGTTTTACTAAATGTGTCCCAAGGTTATATTCCATAAATTTCACTGGGATGCAAACAGGAAGATTCGCTTCAGCTGCGTTAATATCAATAATGGTTTAAAAATAAGAATATTGTAGAAAAAAAGAGCTTTGATTTTTTTCTGACAAATGATGGGAACGAAGGAAGTTCATGTTTATAGATACCTGCCCACACAAGGGTAAGCAGCATATTGAGAAAGACAACAGGTGGTTTTAATGATTACTCGTGCTGCACAAGAAACATTTGTTTCATTTCTAGAGGAACATTTTGGCTCCGTTTAAGGGTGGATGTTATGTGCCAAAAGGATTCAAAGTACAAAAAGAATTGCAAATTAAAAGACCCACATTTTAAAAGTATGCTAGAAGAGTGTGCTTTTAGGAGTCACAACAAGCAACTCACATAATCCCAGTACTGTCTCAAGAATGCCAGTATTTATGACAGATGTGAGCTTATCCTAAATAACAGTACAAATCTTTTTTTTTTCTAAACTTGTATTCTGTTGAGAAGTTTGCTGCATACAAATGCAATGTTTAGAATTACTGCATTCTAAATATTAGGATATATAATATAGTAACTTTAAAAGTAACTTAAAGTACAATTGGACACAAACGTGTTATGAAACTTCTGTTTGGGTAGAAAAAGCTCGTGCATCCTGTGTCGCATTCTTCTACATTTTGGTTATCATAGCTGATGATAACCATGGTGACATCTGAACTAAAAAGATATATCATTCTGGAATTCATTAAAGATTTGGGGGCTCCAGGGGTGCCTGTGTGCCTCAGTCAGTTAAGTTTCCGACTCAATTTCGTCTCAGGTCATGATCTCACAGTTTGTGACTTTGAGCTCTACATCAGACTCTGTGCTGACAGTGCAGAGCCTGCTTGGGATGCTCGCTCTTTACCTCTGTCTCTCTCTCTCTGCCTCTCCTCTGTTCTCACTGTCTCTCTCAAAAAAAAGAAAGAAGAAAGAAAGAAAGAAATAGAAAGAAAGAAAGAAAGAAAGAAAGAAAGAAAGAAAGAAAGAAAGAAAGGAAGGAAGGAANAAGAAAGAAAGAAAGAAAGAAAGAAAGAAAGAAAGAAAGGAAGGAAGGAAGGAAAGAAAGAAGGAAAGGAAGGAAGGAAGGAAGGAAGGAAGGAAGGAAGGAAGGAAGGAAGGAAGGAAGGAAGGAAGGAAGAAATTGATCGGGGGGAGGATTCTGGACTTTAAGTCAAACAGGAATTATTTACCTTGACTACAAATATAAACATCGCTACAGAAAGCATTCCATTTGATTAGTGACTTTTGACTGTAAATCTCAAACCCTTTCGGACAATTGCGTGATTGTTTCCTGAGTCAGGTCTTCCTTACCGAAGCCGGCTGGGGAAAGAGTCGGGTAAGGAATGGCTCTCCAGACTGTTTTCAGAGGCAATGGTGAAGCTACAGTTTTCCATTTAGAATTAAGGGTCACAAAAATATAGCTAATTATAATAAAAGTTATTTTCCTTAAGGGGTATTATTGCCAGTCAATCCTGTTTTCCAGATGTTTAGATCATCAAGGGCCTGTTTATATTTCAATATTACATTACCATCTGTTGGTTACAGAAAGAGAAGGGTAACCGGCAAGTTAAACCTTTCAGACATTACTTTGCTGAGCTGCCGGATATTCCCAGCAGGGACAGGCAAAAGACAAACATCATCATTTTACTTGAACTAAGTTTAGATTGGGAGCCACTAAACCAGGTAACATAAAAATTAAAACCTGCTTTGGCAGTAAACTAACAATTCTGTGTTTTCCTTTGCCCGTGAAAGGTCACTTCAATCATTTGGAGGTCTTCGTGTAGCATTCTTTCCTTGCTGACCCCTCTGTTTTGCCTGATGTTTAAATCTACTCATGATTGCATTTTCTAAAAATCAGCATCACACATCATTGGGACTTTTCTGAGTCCTTCAGCTCCTGGTTCATAATATTTGGCTCTCAATGCCATGATCCAGCGTCCTAGCTTGATTTTAAAAAAAAAGAAGAAGCCCGGAGGAAGTTGTAATCATTCTGACTACACATTAGGGATTGAGCGTTGGAACTCCCATATTTCATGGTGTGGTGGGCATGGTGTCAGAGAACTTGCTTACTAACTCACCCTTGGTTCCTTTAGAGCGGGTACGCAGCGTTTTATCTTCAGCCTCTGCCTCCATCTGTAGCATGAACACAAAGTCCTGAGGTCATTCCTTTGACATTGACCAAAATACGAAAACATGTCCTTACAAGTTCTGAAGGTCATTATGAAACACAAAACAGCCTTCCATGCTCCTGATTAGCACTCTGCCTCAGCAGGTATAGTGCTGTGACTGCTCTTGCAGCCCATGAGTTTTGGAAATACTTTTATCGATGCTGAAGGCAGAGGGAACAGTGACAGAGGGCAGATGTCCTCGTCCATAAGTGTTTGCTAGCAATTCAAACACTTCTGGCATCACAGAGATGGGAAAAAAAGGATTGTCTGATTAATAGTCATTTTAAGGGAGACGAAACCTCAAATGCCAAACCAAAAGGTTTCAGGTGTATTTACTAAAACCTGATTCCTTTGCATTTCTAGACCCTTTCTGATAAATACCTCTTTCTAATTCAGTAAAAATAATCCCCCATGTAAAAAAGCAACAGGAAAGCAAACCCCTGAAATAGTGGCATTTCAAATTACCACTGGAAACGTTGATCATCAAATGATATACATTGACTCCCAGAATTCCAGAATAAATATTGGTTATAATCGTGCAAATCTATGTGGAAAGTGAAATATGAGATCCGTGTGTGTCAGCATCAAACTCCCTAAGGCATCACCGGTAAATATTTTAAATGCCATCAAATAAGCTACCAAAAGGATGGAAAGACTTTAAAAAGCCTGTTGTTTTTGTCCCTCTGGAGATAGATATAGTCAGACACGACTACTCCCATCCGTTTCACTGGATCCTTCCAATCATCTCTGGCTTAATTCATTTCTGCACACTGTCAGAAGGAATTCTTAAATGCAAAGAAGTTGTTTTGCTGGTTGAAAATGAGAGGCAGGCAGAAGGCACTCTCCGTGGCACCCATCCTTAAATCCTGACACTAGCGTGGATGCCGTGTGACTGCAATAGTAATGGGGGACGCATCTCTGCTCTCTGAGGCTGAGTTGTGATTGAAGGCACTGACCTGCTATAGACTTATAATAGGGGAGCAGGTGTGGCAATGATGGACTTTAATTTCCTTTAATAAACCTTTTATGTGCCACACTTTTACTGCCATTCGATGCTCTCCAAGGTCCTGCACATAATAGGTTCATTACTTTTGATTACTATAGTCTATTGAGACAAACAACTCCAGAACACACTATATATTATGTTCAGTTAAACCAATATAGACTATTTATCCATTGTGCATTTTTTCACCTGCAACACTACAGACAAAATTAACGACAGCCCTCGTAAGCTAAAACTATTAAAACCACCAGCACTCTTTTGTCATCATTTCATAATAAACACCACACCAATCACTGAACTGTGTTTTAAATTAGCAAACAGGAAGTGTCCAGTGCTTTTGCCGAGCAGCAGGTGCTTTTGTCTAAATAAAACGGTCCGTTGTTATGAATATTTAAAAACTACAGAATAAAGAGGACACAACAATAAAACAGAGGTGATTTTTTTTCCTGTAGGTTTCCCTTCTTTTAAAAACCACACGAATTTATGACAGATGTGACACTGCCTGGGATTAAAATGGCTTGGTTTACTCAGGATGGTGAACGTGGTGTTGTGAAATCCTCTCCTCCACGAGTATCTCTGTTGCATATAAATTGGCTCAACTCATGCAAACTCCCCTCCATGGGCTACACAGGCAACTTGATTACAAGAGATCAGTAGCAAGGAGAGTTCAAATGATGAAAACCACCAACTATTTCTGAGGAAGCTACTCTGGTAGGTGACTCAACATAACTCTAACATTACCCTGCCACACAAGTGCTATGAGCATTCCCCAGCCGCTCTGACAAGTCTCCTGCAAGAAGGCAAGTAAAGATTGAACTTCATGAGTTTCTTTATCAAAACTGAAATACAGGTTGCAAAGAGTGCCGGCAGGTAAGTGTAGACGTTTCAAAAACCTACTTCAGTGTAACCCTCTTTATAAGAGCTTTAAGACTACTTCCATTATGCAATTCAGCTATTCCCTTGGACCTGACTGGTGTGCAACCACTCCATGCAGCCACCTCCCCATTAAAGTCATTGGAAGGAATGCATAAATATTCATGGACCTGTGCTCGATTATGTTCGGAAGGCTAGCCTCATAATTGTGTTTTGTGGCATGACTGTCCTCTTGATGGTGTGGCGTATACATCCTGTGTAAACATTTTAAAGACTGGTAACTCATTTATAAAGCTAAGTTTTCAGATTTAACTTGGGGGCCAAGTTGTAGGAGTGAAATGGATCAAGGCCATAATATATACTCCATCTATTTTACCATCTTTCTCCACTTCACAGCTGAAGAACAATAAAAGTTACTAAGTTGCGTGTCTAGTCATGTCTGATAGCTTGTTGGGGAATAAGAACATCAGAAACCTACAGCAATGTCCTTTCTTTTTAGGGATGGAAGGTTTTAACATTCATGGGGTGGCGCACTCTCCTGACAGATCTCAATCTGAAGGTAAGTCTTTGTTTTCTAAAACCTTATATATGGGAGTGGAAATTTCTAAGTATTCTTTATATGGAATATTCTCATGGATTTTAATACATCCCCAATTAGCAGACTTAATTTTAGTAAAATCAAACCTCATATTCTTTGTGTACCTCCTTCTTGGAATGGCTCATTAAAGGTAGGAAGAGATTCCTGTCTCAGTGCATGCGTTGGGACCAGGGTGGAATTCCCATCTCTCAAAGTTTTCCCAGAGCTATAGTGAAGGGCCACAGTGATGGTATGATTCAGGAGATTGACCTAACTAACTCGTGCTACAATCTGGGAAACTACACTTCTCTCTGGGAACATTTTTGTGTTGTTGTTGTTGTTGTTGTTGGAAGAGCAGACTTGATCATTTTTACTGCCTAAGTCCCAAATGCTATTGACAAGTCTCCAATGAATTTGGCAACACTTAATGAATCAGTTCCTTTCTCAAAACGTGAGATCTGATTTTTCTAAAAGCTGTTCTTCTTGAGGTTTCTCAGAACCTTTCTCTATCTCATTTATTGTTTATGGAGGGGAACAAGATATTTTCTGAGATTCCTACAACACATTCCTCTTGGTTCTGACAATCTACTTCTCAGTAGATATAAAATATTCAAGATAAGCCTTGCCATTTCTTTTTCCTGATCTGAAACTACTTTAAGAAAAGCTCATTTAACTTACAAGTATGAAGATTTTATGTACAATATCTAGATACAAAGGAGAAAAAAAGTGGCTCTTTCTTGGTTTTCATAATAAAGCCGTGAAGAAAAATTTTAAAAGAGTTCACTTCCCAGTTCTCTCAGAAGAGGAGTTAATACAAGGAGAAATGGCAAGAAGGAAAGACACTTATGAAATAAAGAAGGTGCCAAAGCAAAACTTGTAGGAAGGACACACAAGAACCAACAATAGAAATAAGTCAATAGATAATGAAGAAGTGACCATAAAATAAAATTTAACTATTTAACTGAATTTGGAAACCTCTCATTTAACATCCTCATATACTTACAAACTTATCTACAGGCATACATAGTAAATTCCTAGTTACTTTTATTCGACCATCTTTTCTTACTGACCCTTACATCAGGGGCAATCAGCAAATCTCCTGTCCCCATCACCCAGGAAGATCTGGAGTCTTCCTTTGGGCTGAAAAGGGAATTCTGAAGTTGCTAGTTTGTGGGAAGGAGAGCTTCAAGGAGAAGGACACAGAATTCATAAACTTGATTTGGCTTTCATTCACACAAGCAAAGTATTGGTATGTGAGGAGATTTCCTTCCCTTTGATTTTATTGTTCCCTCAAAATCCTGTTTTAACATAATGGTAATAACATTTTTTTTCAAGTAGCTATTTAATCACTTCTTAAAAAATATCTCTTGGTGATGTTGAAGTTTTAGTTTTCCTTTCAACAGCACTGTAGACAGTGACTCTCTCTCTCTCTCCCTCTCTCTCTCCATACACACACACACACACATTTATAAGTAGTCATGAATTTCTTAATATTAACAGAAAAAGCCATGGTGATCATAACATTCTGAGCATTCATCCTGATTTAATTAATCTTAATACTGTCTACTTACACATAGTCTCTGATGGTAGCTAATTTGAGAAGTCCTCCACATATACTCAACTTGCAATAATTTTCACTTTTAACAAGATTTCATTGTATCCCCTCCTCAGAGCTTAGGACTGGCAATGCATTTTTGTAGCTCATGCCACATGACTCATGTTAGACATCGTTTCAATCCTGGGACTCACGTGGCAATGGAGAGAGGAAGCTCTGTGGCTGCCCAGAAGAGGTCCTGGGGTCCTCTCTATGAGAGGCCTTTTATCCTCGGTGGATGCTTCCTTTACAAAAATCAATGTTTTTAAAAAAGATAACAGAGAGGAACTCAGGAGGTTGGAAAAGGAGAAACCCAGAAAATGAAAAACTAGAGGATGCCAGTTTCTTAGAATGCAATTTGGCCAGATTGAAGAACAAAGAACCTTACACTGAGTGCCCTTTCTTTTTCTGATTCTGGCATCATTTTCCTTTAAATACAGGTTTGGATTGGCCCAAAACGGCAGCAAAAGCCATCTCCTTGTCACACAGGGAAAGGACGGGGAATGTGAATTGTGATACTAAAAGAATAGTTTGCTTGTTGAGAGGAATATTGGGATGGAATGTTCAAGTATTTGTTGTCTCTGTTCTGACCCTCTTTTTACTTTTCTGGTTGTCTTTTCATACATTTCTTAATTACTCAAGAAGGTTATTAAAAGTAATAAACTTTTTTAAAAAATGTAAACTAATGAAAACTTTTTTTATATCATTCAAGCTGTCATGTTAAAATTTTCATGACCTTCTCGAAATCCTTTATTCTAAATAAAATGAAAATCTTCTGAATCCTTTATTAGGGCACGATTATCCCTGATTCCAACTCTCTGTTCCTACCTCTATGTCTCTTATGATATTGTCTTTGATTTTGTAGAGAAAGGTAAAGAATTGAATGAAGTGTCTCCTATAAAATTTTTTTTTAGTTTTTAATGTTTATTTTTGAAAGAGAGAGACAGAGAGAGCAGGGTGGTGGAGGAGCAGAGAAAGAGGGAGACACAAAATCCAAGCTGTCAGCACAGATCCTGATGTGGAGCTCAAATCCATGAACTGTGGGATCATGACTTGAGCCAAAGTCAGATGCTCAACTGAGTGAGCCACCCAGGTGCCCCAAATGACGTGTCTTTTTTAGATTTAGGATCCGTCTCTTGTCTGCCCTAATCCTCCCCATGCTGACAAACACCACACCGAAAGAGGCAGCACACTTAGTCCTCGATCAGATCAAGTCCAGTTCTCTGAGAAATCGCCCTTTCTGACAGCCAACGGCACCACATTCTCCCTATGTGAGGCAATCCTCACAGGGATTTCCAGACTTGCTCAGAAACGCACTGCAATAAAAGAAATCTTAGGCCTGAGACAAGCTGGGGGAGCTTTATAAGGAAGTTGGTCTACTCGGAGTCTCATTTCTCATTTCTGAGTTGTTGCTGCTATTGTAGACTTCATCCGTTAACTTTGCACAACTGGCAAAGAGGAATATAAACCAAAGCCATATGTTTGTGTCCTTTTGCCAAACGACTCCAGCAAATAGTTCTATTATTCCCTTAGGTAGCCAACGTGTGCCAAGGATTTCTATTAGTCGCTGTACCACGGCCTCTGAGTCACAGCTTTGTGACATAAGGGGGCAATCGCCAGCTTTATGTTTTAGGAGACTTTTTTTGGTATTGTTTTTAATAGGCTCTGTTTAAAGATAACTCAGAGTAAGGAATACCCAACAAGGGCCTAAAAATGTTTTTTCTTGCTGATGTATTGGGATACATGTGTATCAAATATGTAATTGTTGGAAGACAAGCTCCTTCATATAGGGATAAATTATTTTAAATAGGTTTTTCCCAAGGTCAACTTAATTTCTTATGACCTAGTGTTTGTAGGAATTAACTCTAGAAGTCACCCACAGTGCTTTTAAAATATCTCACTAGTTTATTCTTAATCCTTAAGTAAACTAATTTCTATACAAATGAATTTAAATGGAATTTTCAGACCATTTTAATACTGAGCTTTTCATTAAAGGTAAACACATATGAACAAATAACATACCCCAATCGATATGCGAACGTGTTTGTAGGCTCAAAGGACTTCACCTGTTTATATTTTTTAAATACTATAGCAATCATCCTTCTGACAAAAATCCCAGGTCTAAATTCAGCACTAACCAATTCCTTTCTATGCAAATCCACAAAGTGCTGTTATAAAGGAGAGCTTTTATATAAATGCTTTGGCTGCATTTTATTTCAATATATTCTACTTTTTCATTTAAAAAAATGTTGCCTTACCTCTCTTCTGCTGCAGGTAACTTGTATGCCAACTCGGTTTGCCCTGCTCTGTCAAAGTGTCAAATGCGTTTGTCCACTTCAGTGAGAAATCCTTAAATTCATTCTATTGAGAAAAAAAAGAAAAGAAGGGAGATGCGCATAGCAGATAGGACAGATGAAATAGAAGATCAGTTGTGGATAATGGATGATACATTGACACTTTTACCTGTAATTTGGTTGGACTCTGACTCTAAATGGAAAGAAAAATTTTATACTACAGTATCAATCAGAAAAAGATTTTTACGATTTTAAAGGTAGCCAAATTCATGAAAGTGAGACAGGAAACTATCAACACCCTAGAGGAGAAAGCAGGAAACAACCTCCTTGACCTCCACCGCAGCAACTTCTTACTTGACACATCCCCAAAAGCAAGGGAATCAAGAGCAAAAATAAACTGTTGGGACGTCATCAAGATTAAAAGCTTCTGCACAGCCAAGGAAACAACCCAGAAAACCAATGGAATGGGAAAAGATAGTTGCAAATGACATATCAGATAAAGGGTTAATATCCAGAATCTATAAGGAACTCACCAAACTACACACCCGAAAAACAAACAACCCAGTGAAGAAATGGGCAGAAGATATGAACAGACACTTCTCCAAAGAGGACATCCAGATGGCCAACAGACACATGAAACGATGCTCAGCATCCCTCCTCATCAGGGAAATACAAATCAAAACCACACTGAGATACCACC